GTCAGTGTCAGCCATCAGGACTTCTGCCTGCTAGGGTTTAGGGTTCAGGGTTCAGGGTTTAGGGTTCAGGGATTGGGGTTTAGGGCTTGGGGTTTAGGGTTTTGGGGTTTGGGGTTTGGGGTTTAGGGTTTGGGGTTTGGGGTTTTCGGGTTTAGGATTTCGGGTTTAGGGTTGAGGGTTTTGGGTGTCCCTAGAACTCCAGTCACTCCAAAAAAAGGGTCGCTCCAGCTACCCAAAATAGTCGGTTACTAACCATACAAACAAGGTACCCTAGTATCCCATTATTTGGGCAACTGGAGGTATAGGGACTGCAACAAACCTCGCGACACCCGCCACGAAACGGCGTTTTGGTGCATGTACATATACATATTTGACCCGAAACCGTACATGCTAAACCCTGAATATAATAAATATATATATATATATACCTACATAAAGTATAGGGGAGCTTATGCCAACAAGTGACTGTCAGAAAAGGGGTTGAACTCCTGCGATAACGACCTCTAAATCAGGTGCCCCAACTTCAACTAAGCTTAAGGTTTAGGGTGTAGGGTTTAGGGATTCGGGATTAGGGTTTAGGGTTTCCCATATAAGGATGATGAGTAATCACCTGCACTGACGAGTCAAAGCCTCGCGCTCGCACGAGACGTCGGTTTGAGATCAACCAAACCCCAAGCCCTGGACCCTACACCCGAAACTCTAAGCCTTGGGGTTTAGGGCGGTTTTAGGGTTTAGGGCTTAAGGTTTCAGGTTGAGGGTTTAGGATTTGAAGTTCTCATGAGGATCTCCTTATAGATGAATCCTTACGACAACAGGTTTTGGGGGAGTTACAGTGGAACCTGAACTTTTAAAACTTAACAGCCGCCTTCGGCGCCAATTGCAGGGCATGTGGATTGAGTCGGAAAGCACAGTGCTCCTGGGAAGGAAGATTCTTGGCCCCTAAACCCTAAACCCCTAAACCGTCACAAACAACACTTGCGGAGATCCTTGTGCAACAATCCAAAACCCAGAAACACAAGCTCTCAACAGATTAGTATCTACGCGGAAAACCACGAACATCATCCTGTAGACATACATATATATATATATGTATACACACATATGTATGTGTGGTGTATCTATATATATATATATATATGTACATGCGACATACGTACATACATACATACATACATACATACATACATACATACATACATACATTCCTGCCTGCATACCTGCGTACCCACATTACATACCTATACACACATAAATACACTAAAAAAACGGTGTGCGTGGCTTTTGGGCCCAACACCGTGCATCAGCCGATCAGCCAAATCAACCCTGAACCCTAAACCGTAAACCCTAAACCCTAAACCGCTGAACCCCTAAACTCCTAAACCCCTAAACCCGACCAGCCGGATCGGCTGATCGGCTGATGCGCAGTTTGGAAACCGACCTTGCAAGCACAATGCATAAAAACATATGTGGGTGGTTGTCAAAATTATGGTTCCTTTTTGGGTCCATATTATAATATGGCACCTATAATTTAGGGTACCCCAAAAGGGACCATAATTTTGACAACTACCCATATAAATGCAAATAGTGTGTATATACATATCCACATAGACACCCTAGACCATACACCCTGCACCCCAATGTAGAGTAGACTCTAAACCCTAAACCCTAAAAACCCGGAACCTTGAAGCCCTACACTCCAAACCCAAAGTAGACTCTAAAACCCTAAACCCTAAACCCTATAAACCCTATAAACCCTATAAACCCTATAAACCCTATAAGCCCTATAAACCCTATAAGCCCTATAAACCCTGGACCCCCCCAAAAAAAGTCCCCTACGTCAGGTCGGAGCTCCAGGCCGTCGTAGCCGATGAGCTCGTCCTCCTCTGAGAGGCGCGGGGTCCGCCATCCGGTGCCTCCGAGGCTCCGGGGCTTTTCAGGGTTTAAGGTTTCTTAAAGTTTAGGGTTTAGGGTTTAGGGCTTAGGGCTTAGAGGGTTTAGGGTTTAGGGTTTAGAGGGTTTAGGGTTTAGGGCTTAGAGGGTTTAGGATTTGGGGTTTAGGGTTTAGGGTTTGGGGTTTAGGGTTTTAGGGCTTAGGATACGGAATTTTACGGTTTGGGATATTTAGGATTTCGGGTGTAGGGCTTAGAACGAAAGGTTTCGGGCTTAGGGGTTTAGGGTTTAGGGTTTAGGGTTTAGGGTTTAGGGTTTAGGGTTTAGAGGGTTTAGGGTTTAGGGTTTAGGGTTTAGAGGGTTTTGGTTTAGAGGGTTTTGCTTTTAGAGGGCTTGGGGTTTAGAGGGCTTGGGGTTTAGAGCGCTTTGGGGTTTAGAGGGTTTGGGGTTTAGAGGGTTTTGGGTTTAGAGGGTTTTGGGTTTGGAGGGTTTCGGGTTCAGAGGGTTTCGGGTTCAGAGGGTCTTGGGTTCAGAGGGTCTTGGGTTTAGGGGTTTTAGGGTTTAGAGGGTTTTGGGTTTAGAGGGTTTTGGGTTTAGAGTGGTTAGAGTTCAGATAGGTTGGGTTTAGAGGGTTTTGGGTTTAGAGTGGTTAGAGTTTAGAGGGGTTGGGTTTAGAGGGGTTGGGGGTTTAGAGGGGTTTGGGTTTAGAGGGTTTGGGGTTTAGAGTGGTTAGGGTCTAGGGGGGTTTGGGTTTAGAGGGTTTAGGGCGTAAAGGGTCTAGGATCTAGCGTTTAGGGCTTAGGATATGGGGTTTAGGGTTTGGAATATAGGGTTTAGGGTTTAGGGTTGAGTGTTTAGGGTTCAGTATTTAGGGCTTAAGGCTTTTAACCCAGGGTTTAGAGCTCCTCATTCTTCGTTGGCTTTGCAGTCAGGCACCAAGCATCCATGAAGCAGCAAGACCCGGAACCCCAACGAAGGAGCCTTCAAAACTTGTTTGCAAAAGGCCGTTTTGGTTCTGGCACAATTACTCTGGGACTACAAAGTAAACCCTAAACCCTAAACCCTATTATAACTAATTATTCATTCCGACCCCTATAATTGGCCCAAAAGCCTGAACCCTAAATTGTGCCTGAGCCCATCTTGTGCACGGTGTCCAGGCTCGTGTCACCTAAGACAGCAGCACAAGCTCACTTCGGGTTTAGGGTGTAGGGCCCTTTTGGGGCCTAGGATGTAGGGTTTAGGGCTCAGGGTTTAGGGTTTCGGGCCCAGGATTTAGGATTTTGGGTTTTGGGCTTAGGATTTAGGGCCTAGGACTTTGGGTTTAGGGTTTAGGGCTTAGGGTTTAGGGCCTAGGATTTAGGGCTCAGACTTGCGAACCCTGTGACACTGCTTCCGCAGGACCTAAGACAGCCTTGGCCTTCCAAGATTCCAAAAGACCAATCTATGGTTAAGGTTTAGGGTTTAGGGTTTAGGGTTTAGGGTTTAGGGTTAGGGTTTAGGGTTTAGGGTTTAGGGATGGAGCCAGGGTTTTGGGCTCCTTTACGGTATATCTATAGTCAGGCACCCTAGAGCCGATAGGGACTAATAATCAAAGTAACTATTTACATACAAGTGCACCCAAAGCTGTGGGGTTTAGGAATTACGGCTCGACTTGTTTATAAGAGCCAAGGGGGTCTTGATCGGATTCTTGCATTGTCCTACGTTGCTGGGAGGATCCGGTATCTGCAAATTCCCACCTCAAACAATGTCAGCAGAGCGACAGAAGCTTTCCCAAGCGTCCTGTGCTGGCACATCCCGTGCTGAGCAACGCTGACACTGCCAAGCAAAGGAACCGTGAAACGCTAGACCCTAAACCCTAAACCCTAAACCCTAAACCCTAAACCCAAACCCTAAACCCTAAAACCTAAACCCAAACCCGAAGCACTAAAATTTGTTGAAGCCCTAGAGCCCCAAGACGATCCTTTCCCCTCCGGTCCTGCATGGTACTCCGTGGCGCCAGGGATCCACAGTCAGCCCAAAAGCCACCTGAGAGTTTAGGGTTTAGGTTTTAGGGTCAAGGGTTTAGGGTTTAGGGATGAGGGTTTAGGGTCTAGGGTTTAAGGTAAAGCTTCAGAATTCCTTCGAAGGGAACCAGCCCGGGGCTCCTTTGAGGGATCGATAAGGGTTTAGGGTTTAGGGACGAGGCTGTAGGGTTTAGAGTTTCAGGGCTCAAGACTTCGCGTTGAGGGTTCCAGGGTTCAGGTTTTTGTGGTTCAGGGTTTAGGGTTGTCTAGGGTAAGGCCCAGATTGGGTACTTCGTCGATTCGTGCAGGGATTTTTGGGGTTAGGGGCTTGAGGTCAGGGTTTGTATGGGGTTTAGGGGCTTGCGGAGCTAAAGTTTAGGGCAAAAAAGTGTTTACCCTGTGAGCGTTTAGGGTTTGGGCGGTGTGGTCAGGGCTTATAGTGTAAAGTAGAAAGGTCTCTAGATTTTATAGCACATTCAGAAAGGCTCGGGCAGGTAAGAGAAGCAACGTGTTTTGATCAAGAGAACTAGGCCACCGAAGTGTGACCCCAAGTAAATCCGACAAACGATGTCGCCTTATCCCAAAAACCCTAAACCCTAAACCCAAAAACCCTAAACCCTTAACCCTAAGCCCAAAAACCCTAAACCCTAAACCCTAAACCCTAAACCCGTAAAGCTGATCCCATAGCTGCGATCCCAGGAGCGACCGAGGTTTGGACCAAAGAAGACGAGGTACGATCCTGGCCTGATACTGAGATGTAGGAAGTTTACCAGTCGGGGCTTGGTGTGTCCAGGGTTTGGGGTTTAGGGCTTGGGGCTTTACGGTTGAAGGTTTAAGGGCTTTGCGGCCTGTTTGATTTAGGGTGCGGGTTTTTTAAGTGCAATGGCCCCCTTTCTCCACAGGGTGTGGGTTTAGGCGTTAGGGTCGTACGCATAGGCTTCTAGGATGTTCTGGGCCTAGGATTCTAGGGTTTGCTGTTTTACTCTCTGCCAATTATGGAGGTCTGCATTGTTACAACATAACATAAGCATATAACCAACTAGGGACGGCATGGGGGGATAGTTTAAGGAGGCTGAAAGAATTTATGCGATCTTGGGTTCAGAGCTTAGGGAAGCTGAGGGAGGTGGGGGTTTAGAGTGCAGGGTTGTGGATTTATGGGCGTTGCGTCGGCCACGGCACTTGCTCCGAGCCGGTCTTGAAATTGCCAGGAGGCAAACAACACTCACTTGCAACACCATCTGCAATGTCACACTGTGCAAAGAGGCCCTATACTCCTGGGTCAAGGAGAATTTTGCTTGAACCGCAGTAAGCAGTCCTATATAGGCTCAGGAGCATATCACTCGCTTGCGGGGTGTCGGGTTCCCTGTGTGCAAGTCCGCGTGTTCAGAAAGCAACTGCCGCTTGTGCCTGACAGTGATGTGAACGCTGTCGGCATGCGGAATGTACCTGGCAAGTCATACCGTCTGCACACTGGCCCCTCAACCCAAACTCCAAATGCCAGACCCGTAGGCCCGTAAATCTCAACCCTACATAAACCCTCATTAAACTCAAACAGGATATAAAGATTCCTAAGTATCCTTATGCCGTAACCCCTAAACTAAAAAACAATAAAAAGATTCCCCAGTAGGTAACTCCGAAAGCGCCACAACCCCGGGCTCACGCCCCATAGAAGATGCCCTGGCTGCCCGCTGCATTTGGCTTGAAGCTGCAAGTCAGCTCAGTGCGAACCTCCTCCGCCTTAGGGTTGAAGGTTAAGGGCTTGGGGTCTAGGGCGTACAAAAATTTAGGTCTTCGGGCTTAGGGTTTAGGTCTTAGGGTTTGGGGTTTGGGTTTCGGTCTTAGGCCTCAGGCTCAAGGTTTGAGGGTTGTTTGATGCAATAGCTCCCTTCAAACTGCAGCTCCTGAGGCTCACCCCATGGGAGCTTAGGGTTTAGGGTTTAGGGTTAAGGAGCTGCTGGGAAGAGGGTTTGGGGTGAAGGAGCTCTTCCGGGCTTTAAGAGGGCGGCTACATAGGCTTTTAAAAAGAGCATAATTATAGGCGCTTGCAGCTTCTATGGTTTACTATGTTGGGCCTGGGGTTCTATGGCGAAGGGCCTCTATGGCACAGGGCTTCTACAACATTTTCGGGCTTCGGGTGTTCATTTGGTTCGGCAGGTCGTCACTGCATGCCTGCCATGCGGCTTAGGGCTTAGGGTTTAGGGGTTAGGGTTCAGGGGTTAGAGGTTTAGGGTTTAGAATTTAGGGGTTTAGGGGTTTAGGGGTTCAGGGTTTAGGGTTTAGCGGTTTAGGGTGTAGGGGTTTAGAGTTTAGGTCCAAGGCACCTTGTAGACGTGGATGTCACCCTGCCTGGAAGGCAACGCTTCTGTCTAAGGGCTTTAGGAGAGACCCTTAATAGGGACCCTTGTAGGTTACTGGGGTTAATACCGCTGATGGACAAAATTCTGCATGACCCAAATATAGTATAGTACCATAAATCCCATAGTTTAGGCATATAAGGTCATGCAGGATTTTGTCCATCAGCCGGATGGAGACTACCTGGCTATATAAAGGCTATATAAGGACTATACAATGGTTATTTAAGGTAATGGGATTAAGGGTCCCCTAAACCCTAAACCCTAAACCCTAAACCCTAAACCCTAAACCCTAAACCCTAAACCCTAAACCCTAAATCCCTCCTAAAGTCCTTAGCTTCTGAAGGTGTGTAGGGCTCTCGGTTTTCGGGGTTTCAACCCGGCTGTGGCGCTTCAGGGTTTGGAGTGTAGGGCTTTAAGGTTCTGGGTTTTAGGGCTTCGGGCTTAGAGTGCAGCGGCGTTATAGGGTTCAGGGTTTTAGAGTGTAGGGTTTAGGGTTTAGAGTGTAGGTTTTTTTTGTTTTAGGGTTTAGGGCTTAGGGCTTAGAGTGTAGGGCTTGGCAGGGTTCAGGGCTTTAGGGTCAAGATCAAGGTTTCGGCGTTAAGGGTTCAGGGTTTAGGCTTAAGGGTTTAGGCATGAAGTGGGAGTTAGGATTAGGGGGACCCTTGGGGATATAGACCCTCTCAATGAGGTCCCTTTTAAGAGAGCCAGAAGCAGGGTTCAGAGGGGTCCCCTTGAAGGGGCCTCCCTAATACTACCTGGCATTAAGGGAACCCTAAACCCTAAACCCTAAACCCTAAACCCTAAACCCTAAACCCTAAACCCTAAACCCCTAAACCCTAAACCCTAAACCCCTAAACCCTAAAGGGATTCTGCCGACCAAGCTTCGGATAGGGGCGTCGATCGCGGCAGGTCTCGAAGAAGGCGCAGCGAGGGAACGAGGCCCGCGAGTCCTCCCCGGGCTGGCCAGAAAGCAATTTGTTGAAGAAGGGTCTAAGATGGTCTAAGTCTTTTTTGTTAAGGGGCCTTTAAAGAAAGGGTCTAAGTCTAAAGCTTAGAGAATCTTGAAGCACAATAGGTATAATGACTATAATATAGGTTTATAGGGTTTAGGGGTTTAGGGTTTAGGGTATAGGGTTTAGGGTTCCTTCAGTTCTATGGTTTTGCGGGCGATTCGTTGGCTCTCAAAGACGGAGCATCGCTTAGATAAGGGGTGCTGGGCTTTCTGTATCAGGCAGATGGGACCCTAAACCACCCAAGATAAAATCCTGCCACCTACATCTCCAAATCCCGAAACCCCTAATATTGGAGTTTAAACAATTACCAATGCTATTTTGGGGGCTCTCTTTCATGACAGTTAAAATATACTATACCCCAAAACCCTATTC